TTTAAATTGAGAAAGACTCAGAAAACAGCAACACGGAGGGTTTTTAGTCTCCACATGCATGAATCATAAACAGTAAACATCTAAGTTCAGCAAGTGATAGGGAAGGCAAATGGAACGTTGGCCTTTATTTCATAGGCAATGGAATATGAAAATAGGGAGGTCATTCTAAAACGACACAAGAGGAGATGCAGACCACAGCTAGAATACTGCGAAAAGTTTTGGGGTGCTTATCGAAGGAATTATATACTGGCATTGGAGAAAGTCTAGAAAAATTCACTCGGCTGATTCCAGATATGGAGGAAAGTTTGAGTAGATTGGGCCTGTACTCACTGGAGTTTAGAAAAATGAGAAGTGACCTTGTTGAAATATTTAAGACTTTTTTGGAACTTGACAGTGTAGCTACTAAGAAATTGTTTCCCCTCGTGGGAAATCTAGGATCAGACAGCATAGTCCTAGAGTATGGAATCTCCCAGTCAAGACTGGGCTGAGGACAAATTTCTTCTTTCGGACTGTAGTGAATCTGTGGATTTCTTTGCCTCAAAGATCTGTTGAGGCTGGGTCATCAACTATGTGCAAGGCTGAGATAGACAGGTTTTTAATCTGTAAGGAAATCAAAGACTATGGGAAGAAAACAAGAATATGGAATTGAGAATTACCACTTCATGATCTTATTGAATGGAGGAACAGGCTCGATTGACCAAATGGCGTACTTTGGCCACTAAATTTTATGGTGTTATGGTCTTTGGTTATTGAATTAGCACTTAACCCTTCCCTCGCTTGATCTTTCCACAAATTATGAGCAATTGATCCATTATGCTCTAGGCTTGTCTAGTTAATCTTAACAAGGCTGTTCTTAATCACAAGTTCAAATTCCAATACAGCAAAGCTCTGAGTCATTTTCATCCCTGAATCAATGAATTGCTTATTGTCTTGTTCTTCCTCATTTGAACAAAACCTTTACAAATTGTGCGTGAAGTGTGGTGAAAAACACATTCTAGTTCTATTTTCTATATTTGCAACAGAAAGGTTCTCTTACACAACTGAAAGAAGGTTGCAAAACCAACTGGCTGAATATATAACATTTAAAAAATTAATTTTGATAAATGCTATAAAACCTGGAATTTCACCTGGAATGACCTCCTTCCTCATACACTCCTACGGCTTTGGTCATATTAGTGGCTTAAATGATTTACTCGTCCTTTATCTGAGCTTGTTGTACCACTTCAAACTCATTAGCCCACTTTTTCTCTTGCCAAAATGTTTCAATTCTCCTGATAATTCAAGGGGGTTTAGAAATGAATGCTGCTGGATAAGTGCTTCACACACTTTGAGGCACTGAGAACTATCTTGGAAGAGCTAGGCTAATTGCCAGGGCTCACAGTCAAATCTAAAATCCAGCAAGGCTGTTTAAGATTAAGTAGGATGCCAGGCGCACTGATAAGTGAAAGAGCCAGACAGCCAGCTCAAGATCAAAAAAGAAAACTATCTGGTTCAGCTTGGGGAAATGGCCAGAGAGCAGATGCAGCTATTGGTGAGGAATAGAGTTCATGCTAATGATCAAAGATAACGGCTTCAGTTTGAAATGTTTAATTGAAGGAAACGTCAGCTGCTGCAAAACTGGATGTCGGTAAGTGCTCTAACAACAAGGAACCAGAGTCAAACAATTTGGTAGTTAGGTAGAGCTGGATGTTGACTTTTGTCCCATCTCTGAGTGACAGCATGCAGAAAAGAAATCAAAGGACCAACTGTCGATCTTTGGAACATTAGAGAGATAAAATTGCAAGGGAAGAAATAGAAACCAGAGCAGGAAATTCTTTGCTTATGACTCTGACGAAACCGGAATGAAACAAGCAATGGCAGTCTGATTTAACTAAACAATAAATAGTGGTGCTGCTGAAGGAAGAACAAAGGTTCAAGAGGGGTCACAATGGATAAGGAGGGAGAGTGCAATATGGTCATTATCACAGACACGATATTTGTAACTGACTAAGGCTGTTTTAGTGCTCGGGCAAGGCCAGAAGCAATCATGAATTTCAAGCACTGAGTTGCAGAAATGATGAGCATTTATTTAGGAGGTGCCAACACATGCAAGGATTTTGGAGAAAAAAAAGGAGTTTGGAGAGTCAGCACCTAGGGGTCAAAGATGGACTTTTTGAGGAAATGGTGGCGAAGACAGTTATGAAAGGGAGGGGGACCATACCTGAGAAATCAACATTGGCTACCAAGGTGTCAGGAAAAGATGTTGGGTGGGCAATAGTTTAGTGAGCACAGATTTCATAAAGCAAGAAGTCGACCTCCTATACGGAGGGTCTTAGGGAAAAATAAAGAGAAACTAAAGACAGTTGCCAATTCAGGGCTAGACCAAGGTGATGCCTTAGCAAAAGTATTGGTTGGTTGGTAAGGAAAATTAGGGAAGTAGAGACAGTTAACGATGTTCCTAATTTTAATGAAGAAAGGTTCTTTTATCTCATTCATTCATTCATGGGATATAGGCATCGCTGGCTATTCCAGAATTTATTGCCTATCCCTAGTTATCTTTGAGAAGGTGATGGGAGGGAATAGATGCTTGTGAATTTGGTGCCAGTTGAGCACACTGCTTTAACCTGGATGGTGTCAAGCTTCATGAGTGTTTTTAGGGCTGTACTCATCCAGGCAAATGGCAAATATTCCATCACACTCCTAACTAATGCCTAATAGATGGTGGACAGGCTTTGGGAGTCAAGAAATGAGTTATTTGGAGTAGGATCCCTAGCTTCTGACCTGCTCTTGTAGCCACAGTGTTTATAGATCTTTTTAATCAATCTGTTCAGCAGTCTTGTACTGCTGCAGTCCATTTAGGTAGCTAGACCCACTGCCAATAGGGAGGGAGTTCCAAGATTTTGACTCAGCGATGCTGAATAGTTTTACATTTCCAAGTCAGAATGGTGAGTCGCTTGCACGGGAACTTGCTGTGGTGTAAGGCCAATGTACCCACTGCTCTTGTCTTTCTAGATCAAAGTGATTGTGGTTTGGAAGGTGCTGCCTAAGAAATCTTCGTGACTTTCTGCAACACATGTGGCACGGTGACTCAGTGGTTAGCACTGCTGCCTCCCAGCGCCAGGGGCCTGGGTTTGATTCCACCCTCGGGAAACTGTCTGTGTGGTGTTTGCACATTCTCCCCGCGTGGGTTTCCTCCAGGTGCTCCGGTTTCCTCCCACAGTCCAATTGTGTGCAGGCTAGGTGGATTGGCCATGCTAAATTGCCCAGACTGTTCAGGGACGTGGAGCTTAGGTGGGTTATAGGGGGATGGGCCTGGGTGGGATTCTTGAGGGTCAGTGTGGACTTGTTGGGCTGAAGTCCCTGTTTCCACACTGTAGGGATTCTATGTTGTATATATTAAACACTGTTGCTATTCATTGTCAGTGGTGGAGGGAATAGATGCTTGTGAACTTGATGCCAGTTGAGCACACTGCTTTAATCTGGAAGGTGTCAAGCTTCATGAGTGTTTTTAGGGCTGTACTCATCCAGGCAAATGGCAAATATTCCATCACACTCCTAACTAATGCCTAATAGATGCTGGACAGGCTTTGGGAGTCAGGAAATGAGTTATTTGGAATAGGATCCCTAGCTTCTGACCTGCTCTTGTAGCCACAGTGTTTATAGATCTTTTTAATCAATCTGTTCAGACATGACATGACAGACTCTGAATCAAGTGGAAGTTGAACCTAGACCTTCTAGGTCAAAGGTCATGACCTCACCACTGAGCCACAAGACTAATTCAGTTCAGTTTCTGGTCATTGGTAACCTCAGAACATTTGTAATGGGGAATTCAATTATGGTAATTCCATTAAATATCAACAGACAATAGTTAGATTCTCTCTTGTTTGATATGGTCATTGCCTGGCATTTGTGTGGCATGAATGTTACTTGCCACTTGTCACCCCAAAGCTGAATACTTTCTAGGAAATTGCATTTCTTATTTGTAGTGAACATGAGGGAACATTGGTATTAGAGAAAAGATGCTGGGATTTGTCTGTGCTCTCTAGGATATGTAGTAATTGATAGTTTTGGCAGAGGAGAATAGGCCTCAGTAGTGCTTGGTATGATTCAGCAGATTAGTGTCCCAAAATTTCCTAAGGCTAGACATTCATTATTACAGCATCAGTGGGATTTGGACCTATGGAATCACCATTGTAGCAAACTGGGAGAGGCAATAGCTTAGTTGCCAAGTAAATGTGAGACCCAGGTCACAGTCTGGGGCTCCAGGTTCGAATCCTCCCTTGGCAAATGGTAGAATCTGAACATAAAATTTGGGAATTAAGAACTTTAAGATGACTTTGAAACCATTGTTGATCATTAGAACAATTCATCTGGTTCACTCATGTCCTTTAGGGAAGGAGATCTGCCATCCTTACTCAGTCTAGCCTACAGGTGACTCCAGGCCCATAGCAATGTGGTTGATACTTAACTGCTCTCTGGGTAATGAGGGCTGAACAAAAATGCCAGCTTAACCAGTGA